TCGTATGCACTAACCTTGATACTTGACTCTAAAAAGCGCGGGTGTCATTTTTAAAAACGTTCCAGCAATCGATTGCATTTCGGCAAATGGTACTTAATAAATCCAACAAATTTTTTGACTTTATAGTCAATTGTTTTAAGTTGATCGTCCGATATGTTCTCTTTGTTTATTTTTTAACAATATAGTCTTTTATTGCGCTTTCTTGTTGCTTGTTGCTTCCCACACTTCGAGCAGAATGGAATTGCGGAACTCATGTGTAACTGCAACATGTCGATTATTTTTGGAAGGAGCAAAAATGAGCAAAAAGTCTTTTTATTTTGGGTTTAGCAAATATTAACACACATTTTCTCATTTACACATTTCAAATACCTTTGAGGGATCAAAAGTTATATCTGACGAAACGCACACATGAATATTAGTTTTTATCTAAAAATACACAACAGCAACACATTGCACAATTGGACGATAAATCACAAAACTACCACAATTAATATAATGATCTTATTTGACATACCTTCCTCAATCTTTTCCATAACAAATATTTTTCATTATTTTAAACACCCAAATATTTACACAAATTGAAAGTAGAGAATGATTTTCTGCACTTTTTCGATTTACCATAACGAAGCTTAAAACATTATGGGTAGTCCCCAAAATTTTATAAAAATTGTTTTTAAGCCGGCTGGAGTTTTCTAAATGAGAATATGAAAACAGTTGGCGGATACTAAAAAAAAATTTGATTTATGCCAAAAAATCGGACTGTTTACCCATAGTGCAGTGGTGACATTTTACATTTTGGTTTTTATTTGTATTATATGGATTACGCATGTTATTATTTTTATACCCTGAACCCATTTTTAATGGGAAATCAGGGTATAATGGTTTTGTGAAAAAGTATGTAACGGGCAGAAGAAGGCGTGGCAGACCCCACAAAGTATATATATTCTTGATCAGGGCGACGAGCTGAGTCGATATAGCCCTGTCCGTTCGTCCGTCCGTCCGTATGAGTGATCTCGGTCGAGCGCATGAAGCGAAATGATTGTGCTTTCGTATTTTTTCATAGCTCGAACCTAAAAGTGAAGAGCCGAGCAAATACGAAGTGGTCTGGGAGATAACTCCCGAAAAAATGTACACTACTTATCCGGTCTATGTGTTCTGTGGTTAGTGCTCACATTCTAAGAAATAACGGTGCTTTACCGTTAACTATGCTTTTAGAATCTCTATATGCATCTGTATTTTTGTGTTTATTTTTCACTTTGTGCGAAATTTGGCTGAGTTCACATGAAAAAAGCAATTCAAATTTTGATTAATAATGCCTGGAAAGAGATTAAGTTTCGATGTTGTCCAATTGATCTTTAGGAATCGGCAGTTGGGCAAATCAGTTCCAGAATTAGTGGAAATGTTTTCCGTGTCGAGAAACACAATATACAACGTTCTCAGTCGCGCGGAAAACTAGGGAAGATTTGAGGCAAAGGGTGTAGGTGGCCGGAAACAAAATATTTCTGATCGGGCAAACCGCCTTATGATGCGAAAGAT